CGCGGCTTTCGCAGTTCCGAGGTGACCAGTGGTCCATTTTGCGGATTTAAATGTTTTATTTGTTTATTTTTGTTTATTTTTGCAGGAAGAAGAGGAAGAAGGGGAGTTGGACCTTTCGGAAATGTCGGAAGAAGACAGAGCCGCAGTCATGGACTTGTTGACACCCGAAGAGCGCGTGGCCTTTCAGGAAATGCTGCAGGAGCACAACGCCAAAAACTCCGACCGAGAGGGAGAACTTTAACTTCAAATCTTTTCTTCAATTGCAAATCAATTTATTTATTCCGCAATTTATTGCTTTAACGAGAGGCTTTTTCCCCTCCGCATCGCCGGCGAAGCTCGCTTTCCCCAGCAGCTGCAGCAGCGGCTGCAGCAGCAGCAGGAGAGGAGCCCTTGGCTTGTTATGTGTTGTTGTTTAATATCGCGTTTGGCGCTGCTGCGAGGGAAAGTGCAGAAAAAAAAATGGCTGCTGTTGCTGCTGCTGCTGCTGCTGCTGCAGCTGCTGCTGCTGCAGCAGCAGCTGCAGCTGCGCCGAAGTCCAAATCGCATTTTTCTTGACTTTCGCCCGGGCGAAGCCAATCCATTTTTTGCATCCGCAGACTTGGCTGCTTTTTAAGTTTAGAAGTTTCCGGAGAAACAAAAAATGCAATTTGAAGAACTTAAATGCAACAAAACTCCAAAAAATGGAATTTAAAGTACTTAAATGCAACAAAACTAGAAAAAAATTGAATTAAAAAAGCTAAAATGCAACAAAACTAGAAAAAAATTAAATTTAAAAAGCTTAAATGCAACAAAACTCGAAAAATGGAATTTAAAAAGCTAAAATGCAACAAAACTCGGAGAAAAATTGAATTAAAAGAACTAAAATGCAACAAAATTCCCAAAAATGGAATTAAAAGAATTTAAATGCAACAAAACTCCAAAAAATTGAATTTAAAGAACTAAAATGCAACAAAACTCCAAGAAAATGAAATAAAAACTGAAATGCAACAAAATTTGAAATTTCGAAAAAACTTGCAACTCGCGAGTTGGGGTGTACAGAATGAAATAAAAACTGAAATGCAACAAAATTTGAAATTTCGAAAAAACTTGCAACTCGCGAGTTGGGGTGTACAGACAGCTCCAAAGAGCCGCGCGTTTTCGGAAAGTTTCCTTTTGGGGCCGTTTTCGCGCGATTAAGCGGGAAATTGAATTAAAAAGAACAAAAATTGAATAAAAAGAACAAAAATGGGGAGAAAAAGAACAAAAATTGAGTAAAATCGAACAAAATTGGAGTAAAAAAGAATAAAAATGGAGTAAAAAGAACAAAAATGGAGTAAAAAGAACAAAAATGGAGAAAGGTGGAGGATCTCGCCGGTGACAGCGAGGCCGAAAGGCAGAAAGAAATAAAACAATCTTTTGGAAATAATAAAAAGTTTATTTTGGAAATAATAAAAAGTTTATTTTGGAAATAATAAAAAGTTTATTTTGGAAATAATAAAGTTTATATTGCTAATAATAAAGTTGATTTTGGAAATAATAAAGTATATATTGGCATTAATAAAGTTTATTTTGGCAACAGTAAACAGTTTATATTAATAATAATAAAGTACATTTTGGCAGTAATAACAGTATATATTGGAAAGTATATATTGGAAATAAAAAAGTTTATTTTGGCAATAATGAAGAATAGATATTGGAAATAATAAAGTTTATATTGGCAATAATAATAGTTGATATTGGCAATAATAATAGTTTATTTTGGCAAGAATAATAGCATATATTGGCAAGAATAATAGTGTGTTATTGCTAATAATAATAGTATATATTGGAAATAATAATAGTGTATTATTGGTAATAATAATAGTATATATTGGTAATAATAAAGTATATATTGGTAATAATAATAGTATATATTGGCAATAATAAAGTATATATTGGAAATAATAAAGTATATATTGGTAATAATAATAGTATATATTGGCAATAATAAAGTATATATTGGAAATAATAAACAGTTTATATTGGCAATAATAAACAGTAGATGTTGGCAAAAGTAACAGTTTATGTTGGCAATAGTAAGAGTATATGTTGGCAAAAGTAACAGTTTATATTCGCAATAATAAAGTTTATATTAGAAAAAGTAAAAAGTTTATGTTCGCAATAATAAAGAGTTTATATTGGGAATAATAAACAGTAGATAGTGGCAACAGTAAAGAGTAGATGTTGGCAAAAGTAACAGTTTATAGTGGCAATAGTAATGGTATATAATGGTATATATTAGCAAAAGTAAAAAGTTTATATTGGAAATAATAAAGAGTTTATATTGGGAATAATAAAAAGTTTATATTGGAAATAATATATAAAGTTTTATATTGGAAATAATAAAGAGTTTATATTGGGAATAATAAAAAGTTTATATTGGAAATAATAAAGAGTAGATGTTGGCAAAAGTATATATTGGCAATAATGAACAGCAGATAGTGGTAATAATAAAGAGTTTTTAATGGCAATAATAAAGTTTATTTTGGCAATAATAAAGTTTATTTTGGTAATAATAAAGAGTTTTTAATGGCAATAATAAAGTTTATTTTGGTAATAATAAACAGTTTATAATGGCAATAATAAAGAGTTTATGTTGGCAATAATAAAGAGTTTATGTTGGCAATAATAAAGAGTTTATAATGGCAATAATAAAGAGTTTATGTTGGCAATAATAAAGAGTTTATAATGGCAATAATAAACAGTTTATATTGCAACTAATAAAGAGTTTGTAATGCAAATAATAAACAGTTTATGTTGGCAATAATAAAAAGTTTATATTGCAAATAATAAAGAGTTTATAATGCAAATAATAAAAAGTTTATAATGCAAATAATAAAAAGTTTATAATGCAAATAATAAAAAGTTTATAATGCAAA